GTGGTACCCACTTATCTATTTTTTTCACCTTCCCAATTTCAGAAAGGTTTCGCAATATTGTTGTATGGTCAATTTTCATTCTGGTAGCAAGTTCCCTTGTAGATACAGTTGGATTCGTTTCCACCAATACCTTCAGAGCATCATTTTCCACAGATGTTTTGGGTCTTCCACGCGGTTTGTTTTGTAGGGAAAAATCACCAGACCGAAAATTTTCAAACCAACGCTGCAATTTTCGATCGTTAACAGTATTCTCCCCAAACGCCTGGTTTATATTGCGTGCAATTTTTGCAGCATTATTACCAAGATTATACTCATATAAAAAAATTACACGAATATCGGTTGAATTCATATCGGTATAAAATTCAAAACAAATAACAAAAGGGTACACTTTTGAGAAAATTTTCTTTGTTGAAATATGACTCTGGCAATGGACAGTACGACTATAAACGAGGTTATGCCAAAAACAAAAGCATAACGAAAACAGGGAGACAAATGTTCACATGTAAAGAAAAACCGACATTTCATATGCACCAACCTAATATAAAGAGCCTAAAACCGTTGATGACCTTCAGAATGTTGTGCGACGCGAAAAATAACGGATAAGGAGGATAGAAGGGATCGCAAATATTATTTTGATAAGTCCTCGATTATCGTTGCGTCAGGCATACTTCAAATTGAACAAAAATGATATAAATTTATCATGTGTAAGTATTCGTAATCTCTCTAAACTTACGATATTACTTTATAATATAAAGAATATTATTATTATAATGTGAAACGTAATACAAAAATCTGTAGTCTATGAAAGCATATTGAATAAAAATTGATTGAATCCACGAAAATATGAATCGATGAAAAGATTTACAGTAGTATTCGTGAAAATCAGTTGAAGCATTTTTTAAAAGCAGAACCCAAAATTAATTATAACAGGAAATTTATGACTGGAAATATTAAAACCGCCACTTTTCAGGGTGTTAGAAAAGTCATCTTCTTTCAATTCGAAATTTTCTCGGCTTTCCACCATCAAACTAGCATTTATGTTCTTTAATTCAACTGTATTTTAGTATAAATACCGCTTTTATCATTTATTTAAATATGTCGGATTATTTAATCGGGGAATATACGTAAACAAAATTTATTTAAAAGTACAAAACATAACGTTTAACATAATGTACAGGTAAACAAATCAAACTCACACTTAACATTGAATTCGATTAGAATAAATTCATAAATCGAATTTCTAACGAAGAACATTTAAGAATCACTAAAATTGTATTTGTATATGATACGATATTGTGAATAAATATAACGAATGTCCAATCTGCCTCCACATAGAACCAGAAGGACAAGTTTGCACATCTAACTAATTAGTATTAAGTTCTTTTTAATATCAAAATATACTACTTGGCAAGTTGTATTTTATATAAATTAATAAAATTTTATGAACGATTTAATAACATAAAGTTATATGTATAAAATGTGTATCCAATAGGATAAAATTTCTATCCAACCACATGCCTGACAATAAAAATAACAACGACAATATATAAGCAACGTTTAACATTTTGACTATCATGTCACCCGAATTCAGATGACACAATTCTTTATACAAATGTGAAAATAAATCTTTTCCATGAACTGAATATCCAACAAACCACACTTTGCAAAATTTACAGAATGCAAGAAAGTTATAAAAGCAATTTTTCCAGCCTCTGTTTCATTAACACCAACCGTACCAGCACTTTGTATATACTTTACCTATTCTTGCCAGTCAAATAACTGACTACAAAATAAAGATATACAAGTTCAATGAAAAATTTTTCTTAGTGAAAATAGAAGTAAAAGGAAAGATAAAAATTCAAAAACTGATTAATCGGGTAATGTAAGAATTGATACAAAGTTAAATGAACAAAGGAAAACGCATATTTTAAATAAAATGTTAAAACCAGTTATTGTTAAGACAATTGTTTCGAGTGTATGGAATTTTGATGGATGCTAATTCAGTAGTCAATATGTTAAAGGGAAACAAAATTCATGTTCGAGAACAGTTCAGACCAAATGTTAGTTCTCCTTATGTACTCAAATTGTAAGCTTTCAATCTCAAAATATAAAGAGAAACATGAACCGTGAAAATTTTTAAATGTAAATAATTGCTGATATTATTGGAACTTCAAAATTCATTAACTTATAACATTTAATTTATTACGCCCTGGCGTAAATGCCGAGTGTTATCATTTCTTTGTTCTTACAAAGTGGATTCATTACTGTTTTCATTCACACATTTTTATAGTCCGTTCTGTGATTCATGAATTTTAGGAAACATAATTACATACATTGCATAGTACTAAAGGAATGTATATCTTTGTAGAAATCTATAACCTTTTTACAGGTTATAAAATTATTATATATATTATATAATTATATATAGATATAATAATAATATTTATATATAAATACACACACGCACGCACACGCATAATGATAATAAATTTATAACCTGTAAAAAAGTATAGATTTCATGAATGATACATCTCAAGGAATTCAACAGTATTTATTGATATTACACCCCAAATAAGTAGGAGAAAGATGCAATGAAATTCTAAGCACATTATAAATACAAGTTATTTTCTTTCTTGTGGTAACGTTATTGTCTACTTAGCGTAAATTTAGTATTCTTCCGATGGAAAAATAATGTTTTGTAGTATTAAGGTTTATAATTACACCAATAATAATTTAAGTAGTTTACTTCTACTGACCATTCAATAGAATGTAGTTATAAAGCGGACGTTCTCGATTAATTTAGGAACTTAAAATTTTATTATTTTCCGTTATTAGCAAAGAGTTCATAATATATTGGGTTAATACAAAAATTTCGACGTTTAATTATAAGAATAATAATTTCGACGTTTAATTAAAAAGAATACTCAACTGTTTACTGGCTTACTCAGAACCAATTAAAAATGAAGAATGGAGTGTTCTTTGCACACGTTATAACAGTTTGAAAACAAATTTTTTTCTTAACCAATTAATTAACAAACATTCACAAAAAACATCAACATTTGTGCATCGACTCAAACTTTTATGGAAGACTGAATAAACACACTTCGTATTAATAGAGTCATGATTTAAATAAGTATTTATCTATAATTATGTCAGAAATGGATGACAAAAAAGTTGTACTTTCTCATATTTATGATTGGTTTAATACAATTCTATATGTACACCTTCGTGCATAAATCATTGGGCATTTGAATTTTCTAGCATGTACGTTCTATCATTTTATAATCTTGTACATGCAAAATACTTTAGACTTTTCTAAAATTTTTGCTGTATAACCCTTGTTTATTTATAACAACATCACGATTAAATTTTGATAATATAAAATCGTTTATCGGTTCTTTGCTTCGGCGCTAGATAACAGATATCATCTCGCGATCTATTGAAAATTTAACGCGACCTAGGTTGAGATATTTTGCTTTAGATCATTGTTATCATGTTTAATGTGAATTATTTCTCACAAAAACAATTTTCATTTCCCGAATTATACTTCTCGTAATTTGTCCCTTTAAGTCAAATTCATGTAATTGACGTTAAAAGGTTGTTATACTTATTTCTCGCTCAAGATATGATGCTATTTCAACGTAAAATAGTTTGATGTTTTGATTTATGCCGTTACTATTACCGTCTTCTAATAAATTCTTTCCAAAAACTGTTGCTCAGCACAAAAGAAGCACAAAGCTATTGGAAAAATTTATTGGAATAATTAAAGGCTTGTTTTTTTACTTCAAGACTATTATGAAATTTTGCAAGAAATAGATATCTCAAATTTGTGAAGAAAAGCAGTACTTATATTTTTCAAAAAATTTTTAACTTTCATATTAACGAAAACTACTAAATGATAAACTTTGCACTTGTATTTTTATTATTGATGTTTACATTTTTTTATAACTTAAAAAGATATTAAAAAGACAATATAATAATCGCCTGGCCTTTTAGATACCTTACTTGATATGTAGATCACTTAAGCTCGTCTCGGATCATAAAATTTGAGATAGGATCAAGCAAGACCACGAAATTATCTTGTCGCAAACAAACGTTCGCAATCCTAAAACTTTTAAATGCCTGGAATTCAATTCAAGCTTGTTCTGAAATTGGGTCGAGTTTTTATTCTCGTATTGTTTTTATTCTCATATTGATTTTGTTAATAGGATAGATTTTAAAGTTTTGATATATTAATAAACAATCGAATCTTACGCTTTATGCAATATATGATCATTCTTTTATGGTGCATATGAAAGTAATATTAATTTATTTTAAAGATAAAATAATCAGTTTTAAAACCAATCATGTCTAATTTTTTCAGTTCAAAGTCATAATTTCATTTATTCCTTTTCACAGTGTTGTGCTCTTATAGTTATGGAACAGTACTTATAAAAGATTGAATTGTTTTTATTATGAATTTTCCTTTGATTTTTTCATGTGATTGTTAGTAAATTTGGGATTTGTGGAATTTTGTCTATCAAATCTACCATTTTTTTTGTAAAATATTGATCCAGGAAAGTAGCAGACACAACTTGCAACATTTCGAATTAGTATCAGTCTGTACAGTATAGTAATATAGCATCTCTATAGTATAATCTGTTACCTACATCATGAATCAAAGTGTTAGCGTAATGCAATAATTATTATAACCGTTCCCTTTTACCATTTTTATAATATTACAGCTATTGCTAATAATACTCTTGATTATATGATCATTAACGTATCAAGAACAGAAACTACACGATAGTACTAATTTTGAAACAGGTAATAAAATCGTTAGTGCTTTTTCTATCAGATTTTGTTATAAATAAATGTCTTGTTTTTACCATTGTTATAGTTATATTCTATTTCAAATTTTTATTACTCCACTTTTCTACTTTTTTAAGTTAAAAATCAATAACATGAACTGGAGAAACCGAAAATCTAATTTCATACTTCCTTTTGATACAAATCAACAGGTCGGCGAGGAGAGTGACAGTAGTGGTAGTGAAAGAAGCCCGAAACAAGCGAAAAGGAGAAATCGTGGAGGACCACCAACTACGAGGAGACGAAAAAGTGGGATTTCCGCACGAGAAAGGAACCTCAGAAGGCTTGAGAGTAACGAAAGAGAAAGAATGAGAATGCATTCCTTAAACGATGCTTTCGAGGTAATTTTTTGATCCCGTAACCAATTAAAACAACCACCCTCTAACTTAAAAACTTTCATTCTTAATTTTCCTAATTGTAAGACAAGCATTTTACACTATTTTTGCCGTTTTCTTTTCATATAACTACTTTTACCAAAAGATAATATGGGATTGGCGAGGTTTTGGCGAAAACAAGCACAGGTGTATTTGTATCTTTATTGAACTGGATTATAAGTGACTAGAATTAAACTAAACTATATGCCTTAATCTATTTTACGCAATCCTACGCCGTTCTACGCTGGTCTACTCTGATCTACTACTCCAGATTCTTAAATTATACTGTTCCACGCTAGTCCATTCTGACCTGCTCCTCTCAACTCACAAAACTACTCTATCTACGGTAGTCCACTCCGACCTGCTCCTCTCAACTCGCAAAACTACTCTATTCTAAAAAAGGCCTTACAATCATCTTAAATACTAATCCCGTCAACACGGGGCATGATTCTGCAGGCCATCATCGGCCGCGTGCGAATTATCTGGGTCCAAGTGACCTGGTCGTAACGGTCCGAGTATACCTGCGGTATCCGGCCTTACGCGTCACACCCCACAATAATTTAAATTTGGTTGCCAAATTACCTTCCTATAATTATTTTCCTATAATATAATATAATATACCTATAGAAGGTGTACATATCTAGTAACTGAGCTGAACTATAACATACGTTCTATTGAAGATAGAACAAGATTGTAAAGAGAACTTTTTACAATTTAATGTCATACTATTTAATACCTTTTTGCTTCGAACGGCACGTAGAATCAATTCATGCAAAAAAGTTGCAGTAATTATGTGTTTTAAAGATCATCTCACCGATAACCCTAACCATTGCATATGTTGTTCAAGACACGATAACTAGCCTGGATAAGTCCATTTATTAATATATTGAGATATTTAAGGATTTACGTCTGAATTAACTGAAAAACTATAAACTTATTACATTCTATTATGTAATACTAATTAATAAAACTATTAAATAGCAACAAACCATAGAACATATGAATAAAAGCAATTCTAAATTAATATTTTAGTTCAAATTGGCTTTCCTACCAATGGCTTTGCCTTTCCTTAATTTCTTAGGAAATATTTTTACTTATATGATACAAGAATTTATAACTAAGCAATTAAAAGAAGTAAATTATTATTATTTATTATTAATATTTCAATCTTATTTCTCCATTACACTTAGTATAGTAAAGTATTCATGATGAATAGGAAGTACAACCCATGTACTTGTGTAAGGTAGTAAAGTGACCAGATCATTATATTTACCTCTTGTTTTAGGTATTGAAGTTGTATATAATCGTAACAGGTTTCTCGTTTTCCGAAGATAAATCCAGAATTTTAAATTATACATTTTCTTCTGTAGATATTTTGTAGAAAATTTCCCTTTTAAACCTGGTCCAACATATCCTGAACCAATTTGTAATTTCCCCGAAATTACTTTTTTCCTGGTTTGTTACTGACTATTTTATATAGGGATTTGGTTGAAACAAAATTTTCTAGTTTTATTTCACATATTTGTAATAATTAATAATTAATACGGTTAGAAAGTTGTTTCAATTGTTGATTACTACGAATTGATTTATCCCATTTTTAAGAAAAATATTCTGGCAATAACATTTTACAGTTAAACATCCTTCGATTAATTTATGAGTATATTATGCTGTATTGATCGTGTTAATATAAATATTAAAAAAGCACATCTATGGCTCACTGAAATTATCATTAAGTAATTTTTTTAAACAAAATTTGGAAGACTTGCATCACTTAAAAAAACGACACATATATATAATCATTTCTCGACTTTAGTTTCAGAGATATACGTAAACATACATATAATTACCAACCATATTTTTTAGACCATTTTTGTGTTAAGTAAGCGTTCATGCAAGCAGAAAACTTGTTAGTAATAAATTTGATAATTAAATCAAGTTTAATCTCAGCTTAACTTAAATTTAATCTATACTCAAAAAATGCGTAATATTATACACATAATGTTAAAAATATTTTCACAAATTTTGTCTAAAAAACTATAAAAGATTGCGGTTTGTGTTATTAAAAAAGTTATTGACAATTGTATTCTTAACAACATTTGTAAAGAACAAGTTTATCGGTGTGACATCCTTTAAATTAAAAATTTATCAACATTATAAACTTATTTTTACAGAACAAGAGCAATTACATTTTGTAACTGCATTGATTAACTTTTTTAAAAAGTTATATTACACGGTAATAAAGCTTGTCAAAAAAAATCTTGACACACAACCTTTTTTTTATCTTTAATAGTGACTGTGTTACTAGATATACTTTGTAAATAAATAAATAAATATGTATAATATATTATACTGTAATGTAGTATACTTGTACATGTATATTCTTGCTGTTTCATGATACGATTTTCCTTTGCTTTCTGTTAAGATTGGTTCTTTTTCACTGTCACTTTCGATAATATTTTCACATGTATACGGTGGAATATTTATCGTATAGCTTCGATCAAGTCTCAAATTCTGTTTACTCCAAGATTGTAACTCTGTGAAAATAGATAAGAAATACAATTACATTACAATTTAATTTGTAACGTCTGACCTGCTAAAGTATTTTATCAATTGTTATCTGATGCATTGAAATTAATTCATTTCATTTTGTGATACTATCTTTATATCGAAGGTTCAAATCACTCATTACCAATCTGACTCCTAAATGGTTTACGCTGACGATAATAGTAGATATGTATACATATTTATATCAACATTTTTTTATCTAACTTTTGAATATAAACCATGTAGTTAAGTAGGTATGTATACTTTTATTCGTATTGTTAAACTGAAAATCCATAAAAAATTCATAAACTAGAAAGCAGAAAATTCGAGTTACGATATTTTATAACAAAAAATTGTAAAATGCAATGCACGTGGATTATCTTGAAAACGGTAAAAGATAGCGAAGGAAATTTAAACGAAAAATACATTGTTCTTTCATGCCTATAAAGTTGAAAAATAAAATTTTTCAAAATTTTAATTTTGAAAATGTTTGATTTGAACGTTTTATTTTATAGTTTTATAGAATTAAAGGAACAATGTTTTTTTCATTTAAACTTTTCTTCGCTATCTCTTACCGTTTTCAAGATAAACCACGGGAAAGAAAAATTGGCATTTTTTTCAAAGAGTGGTTCCACCCTTTCAAAGTGAAATTCGGTACGAAGAAAAATTAGAATGTATTAGACTTGACTTACTCTGCTTACACACAAAGTTTCTTCATTTTTAAAGTTTCCGGGTTTGATACCTTTCCTTATGAGTCAAGCTTAAATGCTGAAAGTGCACAAAGACAAGGGGAATCGGTCGCACGCTCGAGCTTGGTTCTAAAAAGCTGCCATTACGCAAAAACGAAATTCGACGTCAATATTCGTTACATCTCACTCCGTCGTATTCTGTTCCGTCTGCTTTTTTCGTCACGTGGCTCGACCAATAACATCAATTGTTGTTTTATAACTATTAACGCGACCATTCTGAATGGCGCAGTCTCCTTGGGCCTGTGATTTTTTAGCTTTTAGGATTGATTCATTGATACATGCGAGCTACACAGTACTTATACATCGAAAGTCATTTTTTGAAAGCCAGAAAACGCCTTAAAAATAAAGGAAAATTGTACCATACGTGGATCTTTACTTATGGCTGACAGCTTAACACAAACTATCGGACGGGTCAAAATGACCCATCCCTGATGTTTGCTTTTCACAATTATTAAAAAGATAATAGATGTGTCTCTAAGAAATTATTAAAGAAATTGATTTACCAATACGTAACGTAAATTGTAAATTGATTGAAGTCTCTATAGATGCATTCTTGGAGTTTCTATAGACAAATTTCAGAAAATTAATTTAACTGCCTGGTAGTTTTAGTGTCAAATGCTAATCAGCTGTCAGTACATGTGTTTTGGTTGATTATTGCGCAGCCATAAGTTTTCTTTCCAAAATTCGTCAGTTGTTCTAGTGGCATTGTGTATTTTGTAAAATACATATGAGACGAAAAGGTTAAACTTGAAGCAACCTGTACATTTCATTCGTCCCTGAATAAAACGCAGTTTTCTGACTTTGTCAGCGACCTGTGCAATAAAGTGTTGGTAATTAACAAACTAATGTTGCCGGTTTCAGCAACTGCGCGAGGTAATACCGCATGTAAAAATGGAAAGGAAACTCAGTAAGATAGAGACGCTCACGTTGGCCAAGAATTACATAATGGCCCTGACAAACGTCATATGTGAAATGCGCGGTGAAGAGCAACCATATACGTAAGTAGCTTATCAGTTCTCACACCTATCAAACACAAGCTAATCCACTAATCCACGTGTAGGTGGGTTGATTAAAAAATCATTCTGATAATGGAAATTCCACGATAATTAACGACAGAAAGGCAATAGTTTCTGTGATGAATTGGTAACAGCTGGTTCATATTAGTGGTATTACATAATTTTTACCTCGGTAAGTTTGACTACTTATCAGCAAGCGTAATAAGTTGATTAAGATGATGTATGCACAGCATTCAGAACCTGTATACTTAAAAGATTACGTTAACGTGTTGTTTTCTTAAATAATAAAGGAATTCTTGAATGATTGTAATGAATTCTATAATAGATAAGCTGTACAGGAATGGGTATTGAGAATTCTGTTTTAAATATTCAGTCATCCGCATCATTGTTCGTTCACGTACTGCACTCGAAGTACATTCAGGTACATAGATGAAGCTACGTACATAACTTTCAAATGAAAAAAAAGCACAGAAATAAATATTTATATATTCATAATTTTCGTATTCATAGCTTTCACGTATAGAAAAAGCCGAGCAAACAATATTCGTCCGCTCATAAACGAACTAAATTAATGTTTTTCTAAACTAAAGACTGAACTTTTTATTCAATTACATATTTTTTAATTTCCAATCGCTTAATAATTGATTTTTCTAATGTCCAATCATTAAAATAAATAAATAATCGCAATAACTACTAAAAATCGGAAGCTTTCTACAGTAACTAAGTTTAAACGTTTCTAGAAGTTAAGAATTAATGAATCAAAAACCCCGTAGTATTTATATTATTAATATTATCTGTAAAAGTAAATATACACCGTCATTTGGAAAAAACTACATCTGCATTTTTAGATGCATTGAAAAAGAACTGAGTTGTAGAAAAATGTAGACTTTCATATACATGTCAATAGCTTCCTTTGCAATTCTTTTCAGTCTTTAATCAAATTCAAAATAAAAGCTGTCTCCAATTTGCGACTGTCCCTGTAATTCTTACAGTATGCTATCGCGTTTATTATGTAGTAACGCATTGCATTCTACCTATAATATCTATCTCTTCTGGATCTTGGAAAGACTACAAATAAAAGTAATATTTAATTTCTAATTTATAAAAGTAAATGACAGTTCACTACCATTAAATATAAAAATAGAAGGAAGTGCGGAAATGTAATATTTAATAACAAAAATTATTAGTTCGTTGTCAAATGAATGTTAGTAGTTCCATGGTATGAACTGATATTAGGTACCACGACAACGAAATTAAAATTATTTATTTCATGGAGTGAACCCTGAGAAATATATTAAATTAACTGATGACCAAAGAGATAAGTACAGAAAACGAACGACAGGCACTAATTACATTTTTAATCTGATAATCCTACGATATTTATGTCACAAAGTCAATGCATCAATTTTTTTTTCTTTTTTGAAAAAAAGTGAAAGTTTTGGAATGTTCTGCCGCTCACTTGACCTAAATGTCTGGCCCGAAATGTCAAGAAGTATGTAAGGTGAAAAGCAATTCAGTACTCTAAGGAACTACAGAACTGTATCATTGAAAATTAACCCATATTAAAACAGAAAGCAAATATAATATAATTGTTTATAATTATTTCGTCATTTTAACTCAGCAGGTTTGATCATTTTCATTTTCTTATCGATATTTCTATTGTATAATTATATAAGCTTATAACTTAATATGGTCACTATTTCACGCATAGGATATATAAAAAATTCAATTCATCCTTTTAATTTAAAAAACTATTCGAATTTGTGAAACTCGATTTTCAGTTTGTACTTTACCGAATTGTAGTTGATAATACAAATTGTTGGTTGATTATATTTGTATATAAAATTTAATTGGTGACATTAGATCAATTTTCTAATCGTAACAGTGTATAATAACACTATTTCGCCTAATATTGAAGTCACAATATATTTTCTTAAATTCTATTAAATACCATGACATTACGAATGTATTTGTGTCGGTATTTATACTGAAGACAATAATTTGATTAAAAGAAAAATCATAATCCCGAGGTTAATTAAAATTGGATATTAACTACATAGAGGTTACAATGGGAAAGAGAAAGTAAAAATAGCTTTTATACCATGTGTTTCATTAATCCTCATTGCGACTAAGTAACTAATATCGAGCTTTTTCGTTTTCTTTTTAGAGTGCAGTATTACGAATTTTCTTTGTGACATTTATGAACTAAAAATACTATTCCAAATTTCTTCATATAATACATGAAAAAGAAAATGTAATCTCTGTATTTACCATTTCAGATGAAAGATACCTACAATTGTACGTTATTGTTCTTGAATAAACATTTATCTAAATCCATAAATAAAAATATCTCTCGATTATAACAGGATTTCACCAACTGTTTCGGGAAAATACTGACAATTTTACTTTACTGTCCAAAAAATTCATACGTATATCATCACCATATTTTTGGTAATTATTATGTATGTGGATTTAACCCCTTGCCTTACAGTAACGTATCAGATTCGCGATAAAGATTTTAAACAGAATTTAACAGACATAAATATTATTCGATTCTTGTGAATTTAAACTAAATATTATTCTTCTGTTATCAATTATAGTTTAGAGTAAACATAAACATAGAATGTACCAAGAATTTTTGTCTTTTTCAATAAATTATTAATAACAAAGTAGGTGTATTGATCATACTTGAGAAATAAATCGTAGGGAAAGGGGTTAACGTTTCTCTAGCGGGAAGATTCTTCAACTTTCGAATATTCGAAACGTCGTATTTATTTTATCCTACGTCTTCTTCGTATAACAACAATAAAAATCCATTGAAATGACATAAAGGTATTGGTTATTATAGATTTAAATGTCCAGACTCAATATAATCACGAAAAGATAATTTTATATAGGCGTATGATATATACTTATACATGTACGTATCATTTAATCAATTGGTATAATCATTATCGAGAATGATACAAATGAATCGAGATATGTATCGAGCAAAGATTGAATTTCCAGAAATTTAAAGTGAAGTACACATTCGTCAATCATGCACACTCGTTCACAGGCTATAAGTACTTCAAATTATAATGCTATACCCAATTATAAAACAATAAAAACACTTGTTGTTAATTTCCGAATTGAAATTTCTGCACGGACATTCTTATGTTTATTTAACACTAAAACTACCAGACGGGTCCAAATGACCCATTCCTGATTTCTTCTTTTTGCAATAATTAAAAAAATGACAGATGTTTCTTAGAGAAATTATTAAAGAATTTGATTTAGCGATACGCAAACTGAATTTTAAATCAATTTAAGTTTCGATAGATGCACTCTTGGAATTTCTATAGAGGAATTTCAGAAAGCCAACTTATACTGCTAGATAGTTTTAGTATTCAAAACGTTGAATGAGAGTTCCGAATGTTGAATGTTATGAATGAGTGCCTGGAAACGTTCGTTGAACTTTGCCAGGTGCAGATTCGGACGACCCACACAAAATTGGTTTTACAAGCGATTCGCGAACAATATTATTATCTATTAACGCTGACTTTCGCCGATATAGAATCGTCATTCGAAAGTAAAGTCGGGACAGTATTTTATCGGTGACCTTTGCTTTATCCACGGTCGGAACACTTCGCGGCTAGTATTATCTTTATGTTTGTTGAAACGAACTAACTTTGATTAACACTTTGCTTAACTTTTGACTTCGATGAACCGGCTTCAAATCAAGTTTATCAGTTGTGCAAATATTCTTGTATTGTACAATTTATATTAACCCTTAACAGTCGAAAGGTTCGGCTATACGAAAATGTAAAATGTTTTATTTTCATTTCAATAGAAGTAATAAATATATTGTATTTGCTGTAGTTTGAGATATATTTTATATTTTTTCTGATACATTAAATGCCATATCAATGTTTCTTTTTACAGTTAATCAATATGATATTGTTTTACAAATGAAGTGAATGTTATTAAAAAACTATCCACCGTTAACGGTTAAATATTATATTGATAAGTTACTACGCGAACGGTATTCTGTCGGTTCGACAAACAAACTAGAAAAGAAATGCATTAATATCGATAACACAGTACGATAACACGCGATAGCAACATTTTATCAACTAATAATTACATCATAGTTATAAAAGTTAGAGTGTAGCATCAATCAATATTAAACGATAACAAAAAACATGTGCGAGAACTTTCAGTGATTAAAAGAACGAGCCATTAAAAAAGTCTGCACGATAACTTCAATGTTTTAATGAAATATGATCCGATACATACTTGGCAACTCTGCTGCACTTCTTGAGATATTCTTTATCACGTTACACACACCAAAATGTCTGTTCCAAAATTACGAATATAATATTCAAACTTTTCGATAACCGTAATAAAACAAGATAACACAATTTATCTTCTCCAACAGAAGCCAATAATCCGCTTCACTCACGAAAATATTATTAAGAAGACATCGAGTTTGAAGCCAGGAAATAAGCTCTTGACATAATTTTAGGACATTTTATAAGATTCACAAAATCATTCTAATTAACTGCATAATTGTATCGTGATGTATTAAACTTTTGCACTCGAAGCTTTTCCTTGCTGACATTACCAGCAACTCGAATTAATTTTAATGAGAAATGCATATTAACATATAAATCAATGATACGCTCATAAGAAGGAAAATCATAGATGTATTTTACTGTGTTTCATCAATTATAGATGTAAATATTATAATATATTTAAATACAAAATTTTACAGTTTGTAATGGCAAATTTTAAATCGCTCTGCTCCGGAGCCCTCGAATGCAAAAGGTTAAATTTCATAACTTACACTCCGACATAAGTTCATTGCATTGCTTAAGGGAATATTCTAGTGTGATCGGTCAATAAAATCGATTTTATTTCATATATCAAAAGTTTAAAATTGTGTTCATCAAATTCTGAGAGTTTGCAGTGATTTTGAAAAATATAAGGAAGTTGGAAAT